AGATGCTCCTCTCCCACCAGGAAGAGAAGGTAAGGACCTCTTGCTTCTGCTTGGCAGGAAGGGCAATGCCAGCATCATTGTGCGCTTCCACCTCTGCTTCTCCACACAGCCACTCAGCCCTGACATAGAAGAGGACGTGCTGAGGCGGGGATTGGCAGCTGCTGTGGGCACCGACGGTGTCAGGGTTCCTGCCTACGGCACCATCTCAGCCGCCTCCCTCCTGGGTACCCACGCACTCTGTCTGGCCCTTCTGCCCCAGGCCTGGCTCACTTTGTGTGCGCAAAAGTTAGCCTAGTTTCTCCTGTGCTGCTCACCCACCCTCCTCAACCTCTTCCCAGCAGGGCCGTGGGACCTCGCCTCCTCGGGCACGGCACTCAGGTCAGGTAGGCTGGTCATCCGCACAACGGGCTCTTATCCCAGGACTCTGATTTTAGGGCCTCCAATCCCCTCCCTTCCAGCCTCCCCTTCCTCAGTTGGGGGCTGGGGGCCCGTTGGCCCTCAGGATGGCAGAGAAGAGGGCAGGGGCATTTGGGGCAGGAGGTGGGAGGGCGGAAAAGAGGCAGCCAAGCTGTTTCCACTTCTATCTCGGAACATCTAAAACGGTGAAAATAGCCAAAACTGCACCCAATTTCAGCAACATTATTCCAGGATGGCAGTTTCTCCTGCTTCCACTCTCCCCTTGACAGCCACCGAAAAAACACTGAAAATGCCCAACATTCTGGGGTGTATCTTTGGAGGGTGTGTGGGGAGGGGGAGGACTGAAATGGAAAACTTCTGCTCCCATTCCCACCCTTAATTTTGGAGAAAAGTATTGAAAAATACGCTGCTGGAAGCTGACTCTTTTGCTCCTGAATTCCAGTGAGGCAATCGGGAGGGGGGTGCACACGTGGCTGTGGCTGCCTACCCTCTCGATGCCCCCAACCTGCCACCCTTCAACCCTGCTGGAAAATAATGTGCCCTGCCACCTGGCCCCCTCCCGCACCTAGAGCCCAGGTGACCATGAGCAGAAGGCAGAGATGCCCAGGGAAATTAGAGGAGGTGCTGAACACCATGGCTGGGCCCCGCGAGGGCTGAACCCCCCCAAAAGTGGCCCCCCCCCCCCCCCCAGTTTCTGGGCTGAGGGGAGGGACAACCTTGGAGTCCATTCTGCCGCTGCTGTGCTTGCAGGAAGGTGTCCCGCGGAGGTCTTTCCCTGCCGCAACGGCCAGTGTGCAGCCAAAGGAAACGTGCAGTGCGACGGCCGGCAGGACTGCAGGGATGGCTCTGACGAGGCTGAGTGCGGTGGGTCTCTGACGGGGCTGGGGGCTTGCTGTCTCTGCAAAGAAGGGGAATCTCCCCTCCTCTCCCCGTGCACCTCTTGGACAGCTGGCAGAGATCCCGGGTGGCTGAAACAATGGAGTGCGGGTCTCCCTTTGGGAAGGGCAGCCTCTCCAGAGAGATTGCCTTTCCAGGAGGGGGAGGGTGAAGAGAGTGCCCTGGCCTTAGCAGGCAAGGGGGGGGCTGTTACGTGGAGGCCACCTGGGAGTGAGAGGAGGTGGGAGGTGCTCCTTCTGAAACACCCCTAGCTCTGCATTGCCGAGCACGCAAAAAGTGGACAGATTCACATTTCACTCTGAGCCATAATACATGTGACAGCCGTGAGGGGGACAATGGATTGCTGAAAAATTATTTTTGCCATGTTAGGAAAAAAACAGGATGTCCCCCGCCCCACCCCGCCTTCTTGACTGGGGCTGTTCCCCTCCGACCACACAGCTGCTGCAGAATCAGCCGGCTCACTTGGCTGAGGCACCAATTTCAAACTGCAAACTTGGAATAAAACTGGCTGGCAGTGGGGGGCGGAGGTAAACGTAGAGACTTGCCTGACTTGCAACAGGACTCTGAACCCCAAAACAGAGCTGAAGTCTCTGTCATGCACTTCATCCCTTTGTAGGGTTTCCGTGGCCAGTGCCAGAGGTGGTGGGCTGTCTCCTGGGCCCCCCGCTCTGCTCAGGCCGGAGGGTGCTCACGGGCAGCCCTTCCGCTCTCTTGCAGATTGCGGGGCCCGGCCAGCCATGCGGGCAGCCACGCGGATCGTCGGGGGATCGGAGGCCCTGCTGGGCGAGTTCCCCTGGCAGGTCAGCCTGAGAGAGAGCGAGGAACACTTCTGCGGGGCGGCCATCCTGGCAGCCACCTGGCTGGTGTCTGCAGCCCACTGCTTCAACGAGTAAGCCTGGGCGACCCTCTCCCACGGCACCTTCTGCAGTCAAAGGGGAACAGGATGGGTAGGGCGATGTGACCAGGGAGTAGCGGTCGGAAGGAGCAGGCGGGTAGAGGGACTGTGCCGTCCTTCCTTAGGCTGGGCGAGCAGATGGCAGGCAAGCAGTTGGCATGGAGCTACAGCCACGAGGGAGGGGCCCCAAGCCTACATGGCTTCTCCAGGGCAGCAGGAAGACAAAAGGGCGGAGAACCAGAGGTGTCCACAGAGCGTGGTCAAGATGGCAGTCACAACAGTGGGATCCAGGCCCTGCCCGTTTCTTATGTGTGACGCACCGTCGTGGCACCCCCTTGACTTTTTGGAC